AGAGAGAGAGAGACGAGAGAGAGAGAGCACTGGAAGAATATTTCACAAATATAGGACTTGTGAGTTGGGCTTTAATCTTCCAAGCATTGGTTGTCTTCCACCTAAAGTTGAAGTTTTCTCATCTAAGAGCTCTCTTGTCACCCTATAGAAGTTGATGAAGCTACTTCATGTTTCTTGTTTTTTTTATATTCAATTTTGTTTTGTTCACTCTATTATTATTATTTATTTAACCTTTTTTATATTTTAGGATGAGTCTTCTTCGTTTTGTTGTGAAAGAGATTGTAAAAAATTAGCAGCGATTTTCTTGGAAGCATGTAACAAATGTTGAAATTAATTTACTTTTATAGTTTTTGTAGAGAGAAGTTGAGATTAATGTGGTTGTTGTTTTTGTTATTCGTTTCGATATTTTCTTTTCTTTTTTGTGTTGTCATAGTTATTCATTTTTTGAGTGTTTTTACATGACTCAGTTAATATTTACAATTTGAAATTGTAATGAATCTTATGCTTTTCACTGAGGCTTGAAGCATTCCTCTTTGCGTAACACGTAATTTCTTTGATTTAATTATTTTGTAACACATGACTACAAGGAAAAGGTTGGTATGAGTGTAATCACCAGCCAATCAGATGGATAATGGGTATGGCTGTAACCATGCTTCCACCCAATAAAAAAAAAGGTGGGTATGAGTGTTTTGTAACCATGTTCAAAGAAGAAATCCCACTAATTCTTTACAATTGTTTTATCACAAAACCAAGAAGATTCATCCTAAACTATCAAAAAATTTAAGGAAAAAATTACATGATGGACATGTTTTCCACCTCCAAATTACCGGCAATGGTTGAGAGAGAGAGAGAGAGAGAGAGATCATCGGCCATGGTTTAGTGAGCGAAGTGGGGGTGGTGCTTAGCGAGAGAGAGTTTTTGGTTGCAGAGGTGCGTGAGGAGTTTGAGGTCAGTGAAAGATTGAGAGAGGGGCAGAGAGGTTGAGCGAGCGATTGAGAGAGGGGCAGACAGGGGTGAGCGAGAAGTAGCAGGGGGGGGGAAGAGAGGGGTGAGTGAGTGAGAGATTGAGAGAGCGAGAGATTGAGACGGGGGCAGAGAGGGTGAGAGAGAGACAGTGGGAGGGAGAGGGAGGGGGAGGGGGGAGAGAGTCAGAGAGAGAGGGGTGAACAAGAGGCAGCAAGAGAGAGAGAGGGGCAGAAGATGGAGAGAGAGTTTAGGTGGGAGAGAGGCAGCGAGAGAGAGAATTTGATGAGGTTAGCTGTCCGGTATTTGAAGTACCAGACAACAAAGAGCATTTCACTTAAGAATAGGCCCCTTGTCTGGTGTTTACATTGCCAGACCTGGGGGCAAATTAGGAAAAATAAACACTGCAGGAGAGGGGGGGAGGGGGGGTGATGCTCGTAATTTCGGGCAAATGACATCCCATTTGGTAATTGACACCCCCATCCCAAAAAATATCCATAAGTAATTTGCTCTATTTTCTTTCACATTTTTCATGTCTTCCTGTTAGTTTACTCACATAAATACGCAAATATCATTTCATAGATGAGTTTGATGGCTTATGTTTCAGAAACCAAATGCCACTAAGTAGTCATATTGGTAACCTTATATTCTGAATTTCCAATTTCTAATAAATTTTCTTGAGCAGAAGGCACCTTTTAGCAGACCTGATACAGTGGTGACTCCCAACATGCATCAAATGTGACAAGCAATATTCGCCAGTTTATGTACCAATTTACACCAGTAAAAGACTGCATACCCGAATCATTTTGCTCATAATATCATGGATTGTAGTTTTGATGATCAAGACCTCCTTCCCTGTTACTGCATAATAAGAATCCTAAATCAGTTCCTTGAGTAGAAAGACAGTCTCAGAAAACAAAGCAGTCATGTAATTCCTATTAAAGAACTCATTGGCGTGGTGGTATCGCATTGGGATTTAGACAATCCATTGAGACGAAAAAAAAGAAGAAAAGATGCTATGTTATTCCTAGTTACCATCCAATTCTGCAACTTTATCAAGTGCTTTGGCTGATCCTCTATTCAGAAGACGGAATGTACTCTTGGTGCCCACATACTCTGTATAGTTCTGTAGCAGCAGCAGAGAACATTCTCGATAAATGTAGCCAACTGTCCTGCTTTGTAACACATGCATGATAAGTGAAGCCAAGAATCATTAAACCTCGTTACTTCGTCATACCTGAATTGGGGCACCATTTTCTCGAACAACGGCGTCATAGCCATCAATCTCCTTTCCAAATCTTGTTTTCAGCAGATCACCTGAGTTACCAATAACAGCACAACGACCAAACCGCCGCGGCACAAAGGGGGGAGTGTTGGGTAAGACCAAAGCAAGTTTCTCCATGCACAGTGTCTTATTCTGACATTGGTTGCTGTAGAACAATGAACAATCTGTAGGTTACAATCTTCTCAACTATGAACAGTAAAAAATTCATAAGACAAATTTGGTACTTAAATGGTTTGAGAATCGCATATAGAATATGGGTGTGGTTTCCATAAGGTTGCAACCATAAACAATCTAATTAAGGCGCACCTCCAAATTTTATCATAACATGTAATTTTGGCGTAAAAAATTACTAGGATTATCTGAATATATATTTTCATATCTAATTATAAAATTTTAAACTTCAGAAATGATTAAAATTAAGTAGATCTATAAACATTTGAAAATCTTGAAAATGGATGGTCTAGATAATACACAATCTCTCTGGGAGATCCAATGAGAAAATCCTTTGCGAACCTCTTCCACCCCCATCCACCTGAGCCCCCCAGTACTCGTCCCTCCCCCCCATACACCACGGCCACCCTTCTCAACCTGCAGCTGAAGCCCCCTCTTCCATGCAACTTCCTCCTGGCTGCCTGCACGGTGTTTGTGACCTGGTGCTTGCATCCAAACTATCTACGGCTCTCATAGGTTCTTTCTCCCCTCGTCGGGATGATATTCGTGGGATCGAAAGATGGGCCAAGCGTCTTTGGGGCATCCCCGACTTAATTTGCAGAAGATTAGCGGGGGGTAAGATGTTCTTTTTGCCTGTAGCAAGCGTCGCCTCCATCGCGGGGAAGTTTAACTCAGCCAGATTCAAAGGTGCAGCCATTTCTCTCTCGCCTTGGTCCCCGGAGAGTGGTGCTTTCAAAGCTCAAAAGGTTTGGGTAAGATTTTTTGGTATCTCACTCCATGCTTGGACAGCAGACACATTCAGGACACTCGGAAATGCTTGTGGGAAGCTGGTGTCTATTTACTAGAAATCAATAGAGGGTCTCCCCATGGGAGCTATCCAAGTACTCGTGAAAGTCTTGGACCCTAGTGCGATTCCCTTCTCTCTTTGGTTAGAGGTGGATGGACATTTTTTCAGGGTGTTATGCACCTGGCAGCAAGCGTCGCTGCCTTCCCCTTCATTTTTTCAGCTCGACGGCGCCACCTCCCGTAGCCCCTGTCGATCCCAGCCGTTGGATCCAGGTCTCTCGCTCACACGCGAAGTTGGGTCTTCTCAACGGTCCATCTGGCTATCGCATGGCGCACACCCTCCCTGGGGACCAAACTGGCATCACCTACCCCCCCTGCCCCAAGGTTGATGCGTGTTCACCTACGTGCTCTGCCGTACTCCTCGACCCCAGCCAGTCTCCTCTTGGGTCGACAGATGGCAGTCTTGCTTCTGACCAGCCGCCTTCTTCTACTACCATTCCTCTCTATGCACCACGTACACCCCTATCGTTGTTGTTGATCCTCGCCCTCATCTCTTCCTACTGTCTCCTATGACCCAGTGCCACGTGATCATCCACGAGCCATTAGATCCTCTTCCGAATCCCCCTTCTGTCGATTCTACCAAAGCTGGTGACCAGGTGGATGGCTCGCAACCGTTGGATCCCTCGTCTTCTTGCTGCAGCGCTTTCGTGGCTTCCCAACACGCGGCCATCCCTCTGTCTTTTGTTTTGGGACATGGTAAGTCATCGTTGGCAGACCCCCGTCTGCAGTCTTCGGGATCGAATCAACATGTCTATAGTCAGGCCCCCTAGCGGGCCACACTTGGTTCTCTACCTATCAGGCCCCCCCTTTTTCGGCCCGCGCAAGTGTCTCTACCCCATGCTCTCTTGCGGCCCTCGTCTATTCGCCCTTCGTCGGCACCTCCCAAACTGTCCGAGGATTTCTCTCGCCCTTCGCCTACCCCTTGCTCTCCTCTCTCTTTGGTGGCCCACCCCTCACCTTTCTGCTTCTCGCATGCCCCTCTTGATTCTTTGCCCCCTTCCCTGTCTTCACCCCCTACCCTGTTGAAGCCCTCCGGTGAGGTCGCCATCCCTCCCTCTATCCTTTCCTCGTCCTTCTTCGACCTTCCCCTCCCCTTCTGATTCTAGGTCTTTCAACGCCCTAGACCTAATCCAAGGGGATTATCCTCTGGTGATGCGATCCATGGGCATTAAATTTGATGGCCCAGAGCATGTTTTGCAAGATTTCATCTTGGCCAACCCCCTTTCCCAGGTCAGTGTGCCGAGAACCAACTCCCGTTACTGGCCATCCTGGTGGTGGATCCGGGACCCAACAATGTCATGACTCCTCCGCCTCCATCAAAGTCTAAGCTTAGACGCTCAGTTAGAAGAGCACCAACCCGTCCAGACTTCATCCATGTTAATCCTATCATGGAATGTGCGCGAATTGGGTCCCGTCCAGACTTCATCCATGTTAATCCTATCATGGAATGTGCGCGAATTGGGTAGCTCTGCCAAAACTTCGGCTATCCGAGACATTACAAATCAACTTCATCTGCGCTCATTGCCCTCTGTGAAACGAAACTTCCGGCCCCTTCTCTATCCCAAATCAAATTACTTTGAGGCCGCAGACCCAATCAATGGTTAGCCCTCCCTACCTTGGGGGCTTCGGGAGGCATCTGGGTCATTTGGGATCCTTCCCTGTACTCTTTGAGCCACTCCCTCACTGGTCTTTTTTCTGTTTCGGTGGTCCTCTCCTGACGAATCGATGGCTTTCTCTGGAAATTTGCGACGATTTATGGCCCTCACTTGAACTCCCTTCGCGAGCTCTTGTGGGATGAGCTCGAACAGGTGGCTACCTTTTCCCCTGCAGTTAGGCATTTGGGGGGAGATTTCAATGTCACTAAATTCTCCTTCGAAAGAAATTTGAGGGCGCGTTTCACTGGCCATGATGAAATTCTTGGACTTCATTGCTCAGGTGCATTTCACTCCAGCCATGATGAAATTTTCGGACTTCATTGCTTGCAACCAGCTAATCGATATCCCATTGCAAGGTGCTTAATTCACGTGGTCTAACCATTCAGATGATCCCACCCTCTCCAAGTTGCACCATCTCCTTAGCCCGAGTGGGACGCCACTTTCCTGGGCTCTTTCGCCTCGGCACTTCCCAAACCCACTTCGGATCGTTGCCTAATTTTGCTTGATACCAACCCTGCCCCGAGAGGGCCCAGGCCTTTCAAACTCGAGTTATGGTGGCTCAAAGAGGCCGAATTCCGTCGGCAGATCCCTATCTGGTGGAACTCTTTCTCGCCTTAGGTTTAAGGTCGCGCTGGCTTTCAATTGCAATAAAAGATCCAGATTCTTAAAGAGTCAATGAAGGGGTGGAGGATCAATTCTCCCAACAACTTTAGAACTTTGAAAGCTTCTTCTTTGGTGGCAATTCAACAGTGGGATCAACAAGAAGAATCCAAGCCTCTCTCAGTCTCTGAAAGAGAATTGCAGACTGCCTTAAAGTTTGATTACTTTTCGATTCTCAAGAAAGAGGAAATTTATTGGTATTAAAGGTCACACCTCAAATGGTTGAAATTCAATGATCTCAATACAGCTTTCTTCCACAAAACTGTCAATTGTAGGAGGCGGGGCAACACGATCACTCGTATCAAAGTGGGTAGCTCTATTTTGGAACAACCTGCAGAAATCCACTTGGCCATCATAGAGTATTTTCAAAACCTTTTCGCAGCACCTTCTAGCCCCAAACCTCGCTTGGGCGAGGCGACCTATCATTCCTATCTATTCCTACCAAGAAAGTAGCTTGGTTGGAACACCCCTTTTTTGAAGCCAAAATTTTGAGGGCTATTCACAACCTCGACCAAGACAAAGCCCATAGCCCGGACGGTTTCCCTGTTGCCTTCTTCTCTTCTTTCTAGCATGTGCTCCGCCCAAAGATCCTGGCTTTCTTTGAGGAATTCTTCGAGCGAGGTATTTTTCACAAAGCCTTGAACGCTACTTTCATTTCCCTGATCCCTAAGGTCGAGGGCCCAGAGGAACTCAAGGACTTCTATCAGTCTCCTTAATAGCTCTTTCAAAATATTGACCAAAGTGTTGGCTTCCCGCCTCAAATAAGTTCTCCATTTAGTTATCTCCCCTCAGCAAGGAGCCATTGTGAAAGATGGGCAAATTCTCAACGGGGCTTTGGTGGCCCATGAGTGCATATTCATTCGAGGCATCTTGCCAAGCATCTAGGTTTGATTGTTAAATTGGATTGGACCAAAGCCTACGATCACGTTGATTGGGACGTCCTAGACGAAGCCCAACCTCGGATGGGTTTTGGTCATACGAGGGGGTCTTGGATTTGGGGCTGCATTTCCAGCCCATGCTTCTCGATTCTTATCAATGGCTCACCGAAGGGTTTCTTCCTGCGCTCGAGGGAATTACACCATGGTGATCCCCTCTCACCTTTTCTTTTCGCCATAGTGGCAGACGTGTTTAGTCGCTCAATCTCTCGCCTTTTTGATGCTGCTCTCATTCATGGATTCCAGTGTGGGTCCAGGGGTCCTGTGATCTCACACCTCCAATACGCCGATGATACTCTTGTCTTTTGCCAGGCTTCCCCCCAAGAGACAAATATTGTCTTTCGCTTTCTCAAACTGTTTAAGTGGGCTACAGGGCTCAAAATAAATTTAGGTAAATCCAAGATGATTGGGGTTGCCCTCGACCCTAGCATCACGCATGTTTTGGTGGATAGTTGGGGTTGCTCTGTAGAATCCCTTCCTTCCACCTACCTCGGTCTTCCCCTTTGCATTGGTAGACCGAAACTTAGTGCATGGGCTCATATCATCGATAAGTTTGATCGTAGGTTAGCTTGTTGGAAAGGTCGATTTCTCTCTCCATCCGAAAGAACAACCCTCATCAAAGCTACCCTTTCTTCCATTTCGATCTTTCAGATGTCCCTCTTCAAGATGTCGGCATCAATCATCAAGCGCCTCAATTTTTTGATGAAACAATTTTTTTGGGAAGGAGATAGTGATAAGTGCAAGTTCCACCTTGTGGCTTGGGATAAAGTGCGAGCAACACGGCATCTTGGAGGACTTGGTATTGGAGATTTGCAGCTCAATAATACGGCGCTCTTAGGAAAGTGGTGGTGGTGGTGGTTTGCGATGCAACCCAATCACCTTTGGAAGTCTGTGTTACAAGGGAAATACAATCTTCAACCTTCTTCTTGGCTACTCACCTTGAGAACCTACAGCAGATCGGCGTTTGGAGTATCCTTTAGAGTACTCTTAAGTCTTTTAAATGTAACTCCAGGATTCTTGCTAGGGATGGCCGTCAGACTCTTTTCTGGTTCGACTTGTGGGTTGGATCTTCTGTCTTGCAGGATCTCTTCCCTTCCCTTTTCCTTCTCACGGTAAACCAGCATGAGCTGGTTTCCGAGGCTTGCCAAATCGTTGGACACGGAAAAGTTTGGAGTCCCATCTTCAGGAGGTCACTTCGCGAAACAGAGACGGAAGACTTTCTTAACCTCTCTCTTTTGCTGGAACAACACTTTATTCCATTGAGGGGTTCTGATAGGCTGATTTGGTGCCCCTCCCCTTTGGGCACCTTTTCGGTAGCTTCTTTCTATCGTAAATTGTCTCAACCCCCTACCTTTCCCCTTAACCCCCCCTCCGTTGCTGCTCGGGCTTGGATCTTTGTGGTTCCACCCAATTCAATTCTTCACTTGGCTGACCCTTCACCAAAGAGCCTTGACCGTAGACCTCCATCAGAGAAGAGGTATCCCCATCGCCAACTGGTGCACGATGTGTCTAGAGGCAGAGGAGACCAACTCTCACCTCTTTCTTCACTGCCCTTATGCCCATTCCTTGTGGGGTTTTCTTCTCCTACTGTTTCAGTGGCGTGGCCTCTCCCCTCTTCGATCCCTTGCCTCTTTTCCTCTACCCAGTTGCTCCCTTGGGGGGCCCCAAGTCGTTTGCTCTGGAAGACTTCCATTTCCGCCCTTCTTTGGTCCGTCTGGATTGAGCGGAACAATCGGATTTTTCAAGGAATTTTCAGGTCCCTTGAAGTGATATTCGACCAGATTAAATCCTTGGTTTCCTTCTAGGTTTCTAACCACAAAGTTTTCAAAGGGGTCAATAGGTCAGCTTTCCTTCTCTCTTAGCGGCCTCTCCTCCATCTTGCTCATACCAAGACCTCTAGATCTTCTCTTTGGTCGCCGCCTCCCTCGGGATCCATTAAGCTGAACTTTGATGGGTGTTCCTTAGGCAACCCTGGACAGTCAAGCATTGGAGGGCTCCTACGGGATCACGAGGGCCATATTTTGGCATCATTTTCCAAATCCATAGGGCATTCAGATGCTCATACTGCTGGAGCCCTCGGCCTTCTTGAAGGTTCGCGTGTGTATGCTATGGGTTGGACGTCTCCGCTTATTGTTGAAGGAGATTCCCTCAATGTCATTCATAGCGCATTGGCAGCAGCCCCCTACCCATGGTCTCTGGCCCTCACATTTGAAGAAATTGACCATCTTTACTCGACCATCTCGATATCTTGGAGTCACGTTTGGCGAGAGAGCAATGCCTTGGCGGACTCCCTCTCCAAAGAAGGAGTGAGGATTACACCATCTGCGGAAGGCTTGTAGCTAGATTGGGAGGTGTTATTGGTGTTACTGGTTAGGTGATTTTTATTACTTCTTTTTGTCTTTGGGCCTCTTTAGAGGCCTCCCTTTCGTTGCTTTTTGGTCTTGGTCCCTTTCGGTAGGACCACACTCTTGTACCTTACCAGTTCATTCAACGAAGTTATTAACAGTATAAAAAAAAAAGATAATATATTGCAAGATGCACTATTTTTTAGACTCAAATCTTTTTTTTTTTTTTTCATATTCAAACATCTCGATGTCAAGATGATCAATTAGAGGGTTTTTCAATATTAAAACAACTTTTTCTGATGGCAATATGAGGTGCATCTGTAATTCTACATTTTAAAGTTGCAACCTTATATAAACTTTTTCCATAGAATGTAGAATTACATGATAGAATGGTATCCACAATTAATGCAACCTTCACTACACTCATCCACGAGTGGGGACCTTTGGAAATATTTGACAACAATTAACCTAATGGGGGCGTTACACAAAACTATTATAAAGGTATTGTCCGGGACAATGCATTAAGGCATCCGTGTTGGACATCTAGGTCACGCCTTGACGTGCAGAACAGCCGCTGACCCCGCCTAGGCCCAGGCAGGATGGGGGTCTACTAGGCATGCATAAAGTGCCTTGCCACGGCACCATCTTGGCTGTTTTGTGTGTGTGTCCATGCACTATGTATGTGCTGTGCTTTGTGAGGGGGTGTATGTGTAACAGAGATAAGAGTGGAGGGGAGAGATCGAGATTATGTTATGCAAATGTGTTGTGGTGTGTGTTTGAGAGAAAGATTACACTGCACCTGTATGTTTGTTGTGTTGTGTGTATGTATTTTGTTCCTCCCTCTCTCGCTTGCTTTTCTACCATTCTCTCTATTGAAAAATGGGGAGGTTTGTGGGTATGTTTTTACTATGTCTCTCTCTTTCACCAGTCTCACTCCTCTCTCTATATATCTGACTCATTATGTTGTGTAGGTGTGTATGCCGTATTGTGCATGTGTTCTCTCTCTCTC